GGGGGGGGGGTGAGCATATAAATAAATAAATAAATAAATAAATATATATATGTATGTATAACGATGTGTGTCATAAGCAGATGAAAGGCATGTAACACGCTCCCTCTGCTTTGGAATGTGCGACAAGCGAAACAAACGAGGGTCTCGGCGAACTCCTGGGCCCGTCAGCTCCAAAACACTCGAACTTGGAACCTCGAAACCTCTACACATGACGTCGTAACAAACAATATTAACAGCAACCGTATGCAATAATAAACAAAGAGGGAATCTCTTCAAACCTCGAGACGTGAAGCGTCGAAAGCTCCCCGAAAGTCTGAAACCGGAAGCTCTCCTTCACCGGCTCTGCTTTCACGCCTGCATTGCTGACCTGGGAGAAGCTAGCTGGGTGATTGCCGGGTGCAAGGCTTGTGGTGTATGGTGTCTTGCTTTTTTGGCTGTGGGCCTCGGAGCCTGAACCATACACCCTAACCAGGTTCTGGTGTTCAATGTGTGGGGCGACCACGATGCTCCATGTTTCAAACGCTCTTGTTGAAGGGGTTGGGGTCTTTAGACATGGCGATTCTGGATACGACTTGGTCTGTGGTGCTGTGGGGCCGACCTCGAAGACTCGAAGGACGGCCTTCAGACTGCCAAAGGCAGACTCCGAACTCAGACAATGCCTGGTCACGATTTCCATGCATCTGCGAGGGCGATAGAGGTGATAGGGCTACTGAAGGACTCTGGTACATCACGATCTTGATGATGCTAGAACTGACACACGGCCCTGGGGCTGTGGTGTGCAGGGAGAGGGAGAGAGACAGAGACATTAGCAGTCAATCATGTCAACCATAATAGCAACAGCCGACCCCCATATCCCAAATGACGAAGCCCTGGACCCACAATTCAGCGAGGCTGCTGTGGTTCCTGCAGTGCCAATGATGCCCAACAGACTGCCATTGCGCGGGATGTGGGTGTTCAGCTCATATAGTGACTTTAGCACCTGCAGTCGCGGATGCGCAGTGGTGTGGCGACACAGACAGAAGCCGTTTCTTCTGTGCTGCAAATCTGCTTCATGGTCGAGCATGAATAGAAACTCTTGTGGTTGGTCCCCTTCTGGTTTCATATATTTCATTGCAATACGGTATGTTGAGTAATTTGGCCCTTGCACCATTCACTCCAACAAACTAAGCGACATAGGGGGATCAGGCCAGCTCGATACTGAAGTAGTACAGCTTTCGGGCAATCTGCTTGAAGAAGTGGTATAGGTCGACAAAACACAAACTAAAATGGGAAAAAAACCTTGTTCAGCTATTCTGAGCCTCTTTCCGAACTCATTCTTAACCGAGGCTCACTCGGGGATGAAACTAAGCCCCCCAAGATTACGGTTCGCACTGACAGAAACTCTGCCCGTGTCCTCTCACAAAACGCTGGGTTCGGTGGGTTTAGCCACTCAAGGTGCAGCTCCGGTCCTGGGGAATGCTGTTTCTTTTGGGGCTCCCTTAAGGGTTTAAGGCCCTTCTCCATCTGAACCCCCGGTGCTGCCCCCTGGCCCATCAAACCCAAGTCAGAAAAATAGGCCAGCAATTTTGAGCTCAGGCTCCAACTGTTCATTCTGTATGGTTCGCCTTGCGGTTCGGGTTCCAAAATATTTGTACCAGCCTTACCTTCTGAACCTTGATCCGGAAACTCAAACCCCCCTAAAACTCGCTACACACCCTACACCCTGAAATACTCCCGAAAAAGCTCCCAATACCTCGAAACTGTGAATTCTCCAAGGTGCCTCAGGGCTTTCGCCAGCTGGCCTCAACTAACAAACGGGCTTCATGAGTAGACGAGGGTTCGCTCACAACTTGGACAATCCAGGCGAGGTCTATCGGGCTTCTTTTCTGGGTTTTTTTGTGTTTAGGCGTTGGGGTTTTCGGTGCAGTGTAGAGTCAGTACAGTAGAAGTTTACACACTCGGGTTTGGTGCCGTGCTGGACCTTGGATCCTAAGATAAAAACGCCAAGAGTTTGAGGGCCTCGGGCAATTTCCTTGGCAAGTCGGGCGGAAGAAGGCGGGTGTCGGTCGTGTTAACATCTCCCACATGGCACACGCCGCACATAGCATCAGCGAGCTACTTACACCCTGAACCCTAAGCCCTGCTTCTCATACCGAGGATGCCACAGACATCAGCACACGAAATCTTGACGTCTTCAATACCTACCTAAGGACCTACCACAGTGTCCGCTCCAAGATGTTGGAGTCATACAAACAGCTTCGATCGCTACTTCCCGGCATGGAGATGTGAAGTCCTAGAGCTCACGGACCTCTTGTAGTTCTACTGTCTTCAATATTACCATATATAAGCGCACTTGAGTTCTTGTCGGGATTGAGTACCAGCATCTTTAGCGTTTACTTCAAGTTGTCTGGCTTGCCTCGTGCTTGCTCAGATGCTCTAGCGCAGCTGGAAGCTGCTACTTCGTAGCGGAAAGTGCTTTTCGTTATACCATACACTAATGGGGTATAGTATACTATATATAAATACCATAAGGAACACCCAAGAGGTAATTATGTAGGCCCCTATAGTACCGGTTGGTTGATTCTTGTTGCTAATGGTAGTTGCAGATCACTGGCCAACCAGGCGCCAGCATCTCTGCTAAGCATTCCCGTTGTATCGCGATCACGGTTTAGGGTTTAGGGTTTGGGGTTTAGGGTTCAGGGTTAGGGTTTAGGGTTTAGGGGAGCATCATCACCACCAGAAGCATCACCATGACCAGTATCACATCGGATACATGCAAGCTCTCCCATCTTGCCGATGACTTGTTTTCCACGCCGGCATATGTTTGCAGACTCTCCCGGCAAGGCTTTTCAGCCGAGTGATGCTAGCAGCACCTTACCCTGGAGCTTTGTCAAAGCTGATAGGGCAGACTGGCGGACTCTCCTATCACTGTCGCCTGCAGCTCTCCGGAGCTTTTGCACAGCTTCAGTTGCTCCTTTTCCTATGGATCCCAGTGCGTCAGCGGCACGATAGCGGACCTCAGCCTCAACGTCGTCCAAAGCCTTCGCTAGCTTCGGCACGGCTTCTGCTGCCTCTTTGCCCATGGACCCCAAGGCCTCAGCGGCAGCTCTACGTACCCGAGAATCAGAATCCTTCAGTTTCTTCATGAGCTCCGCTACGGCTTCTGTTGCCTCCTTGCCCATGGAGCCCAAGGCGTCAGCGGCACCTCTACGTACCCAAAAATCAGAGTCGTACAATGCCTTCATGAGCTCCGGCACTGCCTCTTTTGCCTCTCTGCCCATGGAACCTAATGCTTCAGTAGCGGCTCGACGAACCAATGAATCTGAGTCGTACAATGCCTTCATGAGCTCCGGCACGGCTTCTTTTGCCTCTCTACCCATGGAACCTAATGCTTCAGCAGCAGCTTCACGAACCAATGCTTCTGAGTCGTACAATGCCTTCATGAGCTCCGGCACGGCTTCTTTTGCCTTTTTGCCGATGTGCCTTAATGCTGCAGCAGCATGTACTCTGACACCACCATGAGCACCAGAGTCGCACAAAGCTTTCCGGAGCTCCGGCAGCACGGCTTCCTTGGCCTCTTTGCCGATGGCCCCCAATGCGTCAGCGGCATGCATTTGAACCCACCACCTCCCGTCGTACAAAGCTTTCCGGAGCTGAGGCACAGCTTCTTGTGCCTCTTTACCCATGGGTTTTAATGCTGAACAAGCAGCTGCGCGGACCTCCATATGCCAGTCATCCAATGCCTTCGCGAGCTCCGGCACGGCTTCTTTTGCCTCTTTGCCAATGGCCCCCAAGGCCTCAGCGGCAGCAATACGGACCGAAGGATCAATTTCTCCCCCAAATTCAGAGTCGTTCAGTGTCATCATGAGCTTCGGCACGGCTTCTTTTGCCCCTCTGCCGATGGAGGCCAATGTGCGGGCGGCATAGCAGCGGACATCAAAATCAGAGTCGTTCAGTGCCTTCGTGAGCTCCGGCACGGCCTCTTTTGCCGCTTCGCCTATGAACCACAATGCTTTAGAGGCACGTTGGCGGACATTAGCACGAGAGTCGTTTAAAGCCTTCAGGAGCTCCGGCAGCACTGCTGCTTTTGCCTCTCTGCCGATAGACCCCACTGCCTCAGCGGCGGTGTTAGAGTAGATCAAGGATGTCTGCAATAGCTCCGGTACGGCTTCTTGAGCGGCACGTTTGCGGACTTCCGGATTAGAGTCGTGCAAAGACTTCACGAGCATCGGCAGCACTGCTTTGGTTGCGTTGCCGATGGGCCCCAAAGCTTTGGCGGCCTGCGTCTGGACTTGAGCATCCTCAGAGAAGTTCAAGCTTAAAGCCCAGAGCTTCGGCACAGCTTCTTCCGCCCCTTTGCCCATGGACCCCAAGGCTTCAGCAGCAGCTTGGCGGACATATGCTTGAGAGTCGTCCAGAGCCTTAAGGAGCCCTGACAGCAATTTTCCCGCTCCTTGCCGGCAGGCGGCCTGCAACTCTCTCGGCAGAAAGCTCTTTTTAAGAACTTTCTCGGCTTGCTGGCGTCGGGATACCAGCGCTGTTTCAAGAGAGTTCCAAAGGCACAGTTCCAGTGATATAGAGGAATCGAACATGTCCACAATGTCCGGCAGCATAACCGGCAGCTGCTCAATGCTCGTCGACAGCATGGGCAGCCTCAAGCTCGTAATATCCGGAATGTATTCAGGTGGCAGCATATGTGCTACCGTCTGAAAGCTATCGAAATCGATATGGCCCCTGTCACGGCAGCTCTTATATCCTTCCAAGGTGAAGAACCTCGTGCTACACTCCGGCTCCAGCTGCTCCCCTGGCTTCAAAAACTCAGTCGCCCTGCTGTCCAGAAGCTTGCACTCCGATTCTGTGAGGTTCATGGGTGACTGCTGCCAGGTCAAAACGTCTACACACGAGAAGGTCTTCACCTTGCGCCAGTCATCCAGAAGCCCGTTACTTTCAATTTTGTTTCTAAGAACAGGCATGAGGTGGTGGCACTTGACGACAGGGTGTTCGTTGAGCACCCGAAAGCCCTCAGTGGGCGGATACCTAGCGAGCGTGGGGAGCTCGGCACGGAAGAAGATGCTCTCCCGCACAGTTCCGTGACCGCTCAAGGGTTTGTTCACCAGAAAGCGCACCAAAGAATCTCCGCTTCGCCAGACGACGGCATCTGAAGCTGCTTGCCAGATTGGCTCCTGCTCAGGCCACTCGCACCCTTGCAAGAGCTGTTCATCAGAGTCCTCGCTCCTGATCCTCTCCAGAATGCTGCCGAAGGGTGTCTGGATATCGTCATTGTCCCCAGATTCCAACCTCAAATCAATGAGGAAAGTGAACTGAGATGCAGGCATGGCATTACTACGTTGTACCTAGACGCTCGACTTAAGTCATGCAGTGCGGTTAAAGCGGTCCAAGCAAGCTCCATCTGCCAGGCGACATGTACGCATTCAATGATGTGCACCATTTTTTGCGCGCTGAAGCAGGGACCCCGCTCCACAGAAGCAAGGTGGAATTCCGGTCGTAGAAGATTTTTTTCGTGAAGAGCAGTCCGTGTGATGCGTCTTGCTTTCCCCATCTCAGAGCGTGCATGACTCTTCGGGCCATCTTGGTGGCATTCACATCTCTGACGTGTGTGAGCCATTCGTAGTTGCCGTTCTTCAAGCCCTCCTGCGCCGTCTGGCAAAACCGCAGCAGCCTCGGTTGTTGCAGTTTAAGCGTCCCCTCACACCATGAGTTAAATGCTTCAGTAGGTCCATCATAAGGGAAATTAGAGCCAATTCGAACACATCCGCAACATATCCCAAAGTGCCACCCGGCAGCTCGGCTTCGAGCATCTGCAGCTTCTTCTCGCATGCGGGGTTCACCGAGGTGCTCTCAGGCGGTTCAGCAGATGTCGGAGCACCGAAGCGAAAGGCGATTACATGAAAACCGCATATGACGGGAATGGAAAGGATGGTCCTGAGGACTGCCATGGCCCAAAAAGTCCAAGTGCCTATAATATGTACATATACATATATATATATATACATGTATGTATATGTATATGTAAATGTATACGTATTGGTATATGTATATATATACATATATATGTACATATATACATACAGTAGGCTCCGGGCTTTTAACGATTCAGGTACTGTGGCCATATAAAGAACAGACTAGTCCCGAATGCCCAGAAAATTTATGTACCACAGGATTGGTAAATAGAACTTCTTTGGCTGCAAACAACGGCGGATCGGGAGCTTGAGGACCCCCGTGCTGCGGAGAAAGCCCTCGTCGTGTTGGACACCCTGCAAGCCAGCAATGGCAATGAGTTGAGGATTTCAGGGTCTCGGGTTTAGGGAGCCACGCTATGAGCCAGAGTAATCTTAACGCTATTATGAATCCAGTATAATGGTCATGCTACAAATCAGAATGCGAATGTTGATCTTGAAAGATACTAAACCTCCATGTTGATGACCATCAACAGGCTGGCAGCGTTCTTTGCCATTCGAGCATTGTTGATCATTAATCTAAGCAATGCCAGCAGTTCAGCAATCTTGGTGATAGTAAGATTTGCATGGACGCAACCTTTAAGTAAACCACATGAGACAGCCCTCTTCGATGTCCAGCGGCATGACATAGAGTGCCAGGCCGTCATCTAGGCGAGCCACCCCGGCACGAGCCCTGGCAGATGCAAGGATGTTTCGCGCCCAGCGGAAGGCTGAAAAGATACCTCTCAAAACCAACCCCACAGTGTGGGAGGCTCCTAGACCATGCGCAGACGCATGTTTGACCCTCGATGCAGAGACCAATAGATCTGAACACCCAAACTGACAGAACCCCTTTTTGACGTTTGTGTCTTTGGGGTTGTGGTTCTCGAACTTCGGATGGCACTTGTTTCGAGTTTCCGACATCCCAGGGACATGTCCAAGATCCCTGGGCAAGTCCTACAAGCTGAATGGCACCTGTGAAGCTTTCACGTTGCACCTCAATAGCATGGGCAGCATGGGTCCAGTGTCGGGACTCCAGCTTATCTCAGAGCCCCTCAACCCACAACTAAGCCTACGCCCCAAGATGCTGTACCCTTACAGCCTTAACACTAAAAAGTCTCACATCCAGTTCCCCTACATGGCCCTACATTTTCCGCCCGAATTCCTGTCTTTTCAGAACTTGAAACCTCAAAACTCATCGCCCCAAACCCATAAAATCTAAAATCCCCCCTTAAGACCCACAAAGCCTCAGCCTTAAATTCCTTCACCCACAACTCCAAAACCCGTAAACCGAAAACCCCAACCCTAAACCCTAAGCCCCCCACTTCGTTTTGAAGTACGCGATGTAGTCGTCGAAGGATCGCTGCTCCGTCGGCGTTCTTGGATCCAGGCCTTCGGTTAGAGTTTAGGGCTTAGGATTTAAGGGAGATTTTAGTGTATACTTAAGTGTCATGGAGCAGGGTTTATGAAACTGTTTTCTGTTCTTGAACTGTACTCAAGCTGCGGATGCTTCTCCTGTGTTTCGCAAGACGGCTTCGCAGTCGGGAGCCGAGTTTCTACGAAGATTCTTTTTACTATCAAGAAACATGATAGCACACGTTGTTTGTAGATTGATTTGGGGCACATCTTGCGTTAGTCGAGCCACCAATAGACAAAGAGGAAGGAGGAGTCGCACGAGCTACATGCTAAGCTTGAGGCCAACCCGAAGAAGGAATGCAGGACCATGGCGCGAGCATTGTCCTTCTCTTGAATTCATATAAAAAGCGCATGAATTAAGTAACCCGACACTGAGACCCACAATGAAGAATACTGTTTTCACTGCTCCGGTTGTGTTTTTGTCTAGGTAGTTTGCAACAAACATTGACCCAAGCTTTGACACCATGAATCTTTGCGGATGGAGGTGTAGTTCAACCCTTGAACACATGTAATAATCTTCACCTCCCAAACCCATCAAGCCGCCAAAACCCTTGAAGCCCATTACCCTACGCTCGAAACTCCACAGCCCCATCGTTGGCGCAGCGAAGCACGGAACATGGGTCACAGCAATGCTTCGGCTTTCGACATAGTTTCGACTTGGGATGAGCAGTGTCTACTGTATAGTCGTTCCTGCGTCAATCATACGGCAAGATTAAAGATTCAGGACGCAGGGGTCTGCCTCGAACCCCCTTGAGTCAGGCTTGTTCCTTCGAGCCCGAAGCCCAAGCCTAAACCGTCGCCCCCTTCCCTTCCCTTGCATTTCCGAGGTACTTAGAACTGTGCCCGTTGATATGCGCCGCGCGACCTGTCGGAGAGTGTGCTCGATGAACTCGGTACCCGGACACGGTTTCCCTGTCAAACATCTACAGTGAACCGATCTTATACAGATACAACTCAGATATACATACTACATATTCCGAACCTGCTACCTCTAAAGTTTATGACACTATTCCGTGTGTATTTAAGCAATTATTCAACACGCCTACGTTCAACAATCAAGCAACCCGACTAGCCTATGCCGCAGACATCAAGCCCCGGGTTCTTCCTAATAATCACACAGACCCTTGACGCTTCTCCATAATGTATGCAATTTTCTCAGTTCTTTGGATCGGACTCTTTTCGGACTCTTTAGATGTTGCTATCATCTACCAAAAAACGTCTGAAAGCACTCGACCCCCGCCCAAGCAACATGCTAAACCCAAGCCAGGCTCGAGAATCAGCTCAAATACAGGGGCTTAAGGGCTTAAGGTTTGGGGGCCTTCATGGTGTTTGGGGTATACGATAGTAGACTGATATTCAGGAAGCCCAAGGATTACTGTTCAAAATTAGTCACGAGAGTTCAAGGTGCTTTGGTAAGGAACCTTCACAAGTGCAGATCAAGACCTCAACAACATCCTTAACTTACAACGCATGAAACAAACTCTGCTGATCTATACCCGTGAGTGATGAACCCGAACCCTTCACCTTGAAACGTGAAGCTACCGAACCTCTAGCTGGAAGCCATGAACCCTAACCCTGAAACCTGGCTGCTAAGTCTGAGCCCCTCCGACTCCTTCCCTCCGGGCATAGACCCCTAAACCCTAAGCCCTAAACTTAAAAAGGCATTGATCCTTTAGTCTTTGGGGTCTGACCTCGTCGAAGGGAACGCGGTGCTTGATATCCAGAAGACTTGAGTTACTGGAGGCGGTGCGAACCGCGACCATGATGTCCTGCATCTTGCCTCGTTTTTTGGAGCCAGGGAGGCTCATGGCCGTGGGGGCCTTGTGGGGTTTCTGTTTGGGATGGTATTTAGGGAGCATATGGTTTAGGCCTTGGTTTTTGTTTCTCTGGGGTTTACGCCTACGCTCTCACAACTCGGAGGGTTTTAGGGAGCATATGGTTTAGGCCTTGGGCTTTTTTCTCTGAAGTTGGGGCTCTTCGGTTTGAGGGTTATGTTGAGGTTGTAGGCTCGGAGTGTTTAGGATGCTTACCTTCCACATAGCTGGAAACAAATCGCACAAAACTTGCACCCTGCACTCCTTGGACTCTGCAAACACTAGGAGTTAGGACTAGGGGGAATTTTGGGGAGTTTTAAGAGAGCCATAAGTAGGGCTAGGAAGGGTCCCCTTTTAGGGGTCTCCCTGATACTGCCAAGGAAACACCTCTCACCCTGAACACCAAAATCCAAGCCCCACAACAGCCCGATGCACATGGACGCTTTACTACGCTACTTGTCCAGTACCTAAAGGGAACGAAAAGTTAACCTTGGGGATTATGTAGGGTTGCTTTTGTATCCCCCAAAAAGGTTAAAGGTTGGCTACTTACTACTTTACAAACTCTAAACCCTGAACCCTAAACCCGTTTTGGCAGGCTAACCTAAATCCCTCCTAAAACCCTGAACCCCAAAACCCTAAACCCTAAACCCCCAAAATCCCTATACCCCAAAACCCTAATCCCTGAACCCCTTGGACCATGAAGCCCCAAAAGCAGCCAGGGGGCCGTGGTGGAGAGCGACCCGAGCAGGCAGCTTCTTGCTGCCGTTCCGTGTCAAGGTAAGCATCCCTCAGACTTCACAAGGGTGTCTTAGCATTTTGTATACTTTGAAACAGCAAAATTAGCAGAATATAACACAATACAGTATCGGAGAGTACAGTTTTGTTGTAAAATGGAGGCAGGTGGGATTCGGGATCCCTGCTAGATTTGCTCTTACTTAGGATCATCCCACCTAGCCTTGATCCCAGCTTTTGATCCCTTCATTCATTACGGTTGAGGCAGGCATGTCGGCACTGAGCCTGAACCCGAAGTAGGAACCTGAAGTCCTGCTTCGGAGGTTCGGGTTGGACGGCCCATAAAGGCGGAAGGGCAGGAACCGGTGAAAAAGACTTGCTTGGAAAAGGAGAACATGAGGAACACCATCAGAATCAGCGCCACTTCGGGTAAACCCGGGGCTTTTGGCTTCAACAGCAAGAAGCCGAGAAAACACGGGGCTTTTCCCAAAAAAGGGAGTGGGGGGCGGGGGGGTGCTGGAAGGCCCTTTGCGGACAGGCATCCCGTCCAGAGGGCTTTCTCTGCAGCCTCAGGAGTCGGTCTTCGGTCTTGAAGGGGATGCTTTTTTGTTTCTAACTTTTGGGTTTCTTGGGTTTGGGCCTTGCGGTTTTCAGCTCGTTCTAATTCACTCAGTTTGGGCCCGAGCCGATCAAATCTTGAAGGTCTGAGTTCGCAAAATCTTGAAACCTAATCCGGAACCCTAAGCCAAAAGCTCTGAGACTAAAGACCAAGCCTCCGAACCTATCCCTAAATCCAACCCGACAGAGGCCAAAAAAGCAATCACCTGAACCGACGTCTGTGGTAGAAGCGCAGATGTGAACTACGCATCACTTTAGGGAGGGAAGGGTGGGCATGGGGGG